ATATATATATATATATATATATATATATATATATATATATATATATATATATATATATATATATATATATATATATATATATTCAGATTAACACCATTTTTAACTGCATTTTTATAGTGAGAATAATAAAATTGTCTCATTACAGAAGGACTCCTCTATTTTCTTTTATCTCTGACTTCATCATGAAACGTTCATTCCATCTGTTGATGTTCATGTCAGTCCTGTCACTCTGTAAGTTTATTTTATTATTATTGTTATTATTATTATTATTGCTATTATTGCTATAAAAATTGCTGCTTGTTTAAACTAACTATTTAAAATGAGCTGAAACCACAATTTTTAGATTTTTTGTAGGGACAACTTAATTGTTTTAAGTTCAATTCACTTACATTTGTAACTTAACTGATTTATGTTAGGATCCTGCATTTTCACAGTGTAGTTGTTGTTGCTGTTGGTGGTGTTGTTGCTTCATGTCTGTCTCTAAATATTATCTCTTTCTCTTTAACAGCCAGGACACAAGTAACAGGTACTTAAATGACTTGAATTACATCGGTTTTAAAAACTTTGCCAATTTAACAGAAGTACGCCGATATAAACTTGAGAATTCTGAGGGCTCTATTTTGACAATCCAGGTGCAAAGTCTAAAGCGCAGGGCGCAAAAGCATTAATGGCATGTCAGAATCCACTTTTGCTATTTTAGCGGAAAAATCTGCTCTAACAGGGTTGTGCTTTTTCTCTTGATGAGTTATAGGAGTGTTTTGAGAATAAACCAATCAGAGTCTCATCTCCCATTCCCTTTAAGAGTCAGTTGCGCCGCACCATGGTGCATTTGCTATTTACATGACAGACTTTGTAAGAGGAAAAACTGAACACTTCACTAGCGAGAAAACTGTTAAACAGAGCATCTACAGCGCGAGAATGAAAGAATTTACTTTCACTTTCGCTCTCTTCCATGGATAAGAAAACGTGTTGTACACACAGACATCCATTATCCTACATAATTAACTTAGTTTGTTAAGCGCAGAGATTTGTTTAAAACTATTATTAAATTCAGTTCTAATTTCCAGCAAATGAATAAATGAAAATTATCCAAATACACCTGCTGCTCCATAAGGTCCAAAACCTGAGAGGTGGACAAATCTAAGCTTGATTTTAATAAAACAAATATAAATATGCATATAATAAATAATACTACTAATCATAATAACATTATACAAAAGCAAATTGTCATGAATAAACTAAAAAAGCTCCCCCGAGATGAAGAAGGCATGGAGGCTGTGGTTTATATCTCTATGTAGGCTAGAAAATAAAAATTTTATAATATTTTAATCCTTTAATTGTTGTTCATTTGTACAGATATTTGTGTATTGCTGTACATCCTGTGTGTATTAAGCAATGTGTAAGCAATGTTTGCTGCAGTGCGCCCTGCGCTGGACTAGACCTGCTTTGATCTGGTCTATTGTGCAGTCTAATATGGTTCCTCAAAATAGCAACGAGCCAGCAATGCGCCTTAACACACCTCCTTTTTTAGACCCGAATGCCAATAAGCACACATGTGAGCGCAAATGCATTTGCTATTTAAACAGCATGCTGCAAAACGACACTTTCGTCCAGCTGAAACTAGCAAACAGCATTTGCATCACACCTCCTGCCACATTGAGCCGGGTGTATGATAAGGCCCTTTGTGTCTATAAAAAAACTTTACGCCAAGCGAGTTCATGAGGTTTAATAGTGTTTGTGTTTGTTTATTTATTCAGAGTTTTTCACAACTGCCGTAGGTAATTATTCACACACTTAACAGTCTTAAAAATGCCATTTTAAGTGAATTCACACAAGATTTTAAATGGGATTTGTATGTGTTCAGAAATGACTACAGAAGCAACCACGGTCTTACCAGGTAACCAGCATTTTACTGTACATTTTTTGCAAAAAGTAAAAGAAAGGTGGTAAAAATAATCAAGTTTATTTTGGCTTAGTAATCCAATGTTTCCTTAACAAATTGTCACATGTTATTATGCCTATTAAAAATGTGCTTTATGACTGTTTCTCAACCAACGTTCCCACTAGCACTGCATGTTTTGGATGTCTCCTTTGTCTGCTACACCCATTTGAGGTCTTTCAGTCTCTGCTAATGAGCTGATGATCTGGTGTGTTTGGTTAAGGAGACATGGAAAATGTGCAGAGGTGGTGCTCCTCCAGGAATGTGGTTAAGAAACACTGCTTTAAAGGCTTTTGTTACTTTTACTAATTGCTCTATTTTGAGCTAGCATTATTAATCTTTATTTTAATAGCACCGTTTAGAGCTGCATCACAGTAATCACATGATATTTTTATGTAACTAGACCACATTAATCATGGTACAGCAAATGTTTTGCTTCATATTTTTTCTATATTTTTTGTCTGTCATCTGAAACATGTTGTTTACTCATGATATAGTAATATTTTTTGCATTGTTTTAAGGTAGCCGGTGGGTTCTGCTAAAAATAACGCTGTTCTTTATGCAGGATCATTCTACTCATTCGGATCAGCAGCAGGAGACTTACTAAATCCTGCTGCTGATGATGGAAGCTCCTCTGTTATTCCGCTGTTTAGTCCATTTCAGTATTTTGGTCTCACATACCAGCAGATTTACGTAAGGATTTGACTATGTCTTAAGGTCTAAATTTGATTATTTGATGTTTTATACACTATCTCTGATCAAACAAAGCTGATTTTGACATTATTTCTCATGTTTCAGGTTAATAATAATGGATTCCTCACATTCAACCAGGCTTCTTCACAGTTTGCTCCCAACTCATTTCCAGCTAATGGAAGTCAAGATGTAATTGCTGGACTCTGGACCAACATTGACAACAGTGCGAGAGGAGTCGTCTCTTATAATCAGTACACCAGTGGAAGTGTTCTCGCTAGTGCCACTCAGGATATAAACAATTATTTCCCAAATCTGACCTTCACCGCTTCTTGGGTCTTTGTTGCAACGTGGGATAAAGTCGCTTATTTTAACTCGAACACAGTAAGTTGAAGTTTAAACAGTTTTTTTTTTGACACTTTTAAGATGATTCCAATGCAAAGTACAATACTTGCTGTAGCTTGTGATTGTTCACTTGAGAGTAGCCTACAACTAAAGTAAAATAACAGAGAATGGCATGTACCTAAAGCCAAGGCACTTGTCACACTGCATTACCGCAATCCCCATAATTAAAATTTCAGATGTCATAACAGCAGACTGCAACAATCAAAATGCGTCAAATACAGACGCACACAACTCACCAGGATTTTTTTTATGCCATCACAATGAAATGAAATTCATCACACAAAATCAATCAATTTTAAAGTAATTCCCATGTGTTCCGTGTCCATTTGTTGTTGTTGTTGTTGTTTTTTTGAACAAGGTACACCACCATGTAATTTGTGTTTAAAAGACATTTTAACATCTTGGCTAAAACAATACTGAATTTGACTGTCAGTGAAAATCTAATTGATCATGTCTAAAATAATACAAAACTAGGCTATAGCCAAGTCCCTTTAAGGCAGATGTGTCTAAACTAGCTAGTGTTTAGCTCAAGTGCTAATCAAACACACCTGAACCAGATAATCAAGCTCTTATTAGACATACTAGAAACTTCCTGGCATGTGTGTTGAAGCAAGTTTGAGCTAAACTCAGCAAGACACCGCCCCTCCAGGACTGAGTTTGAACATATCTGCTTTAAAGCAAGTCATTTCACTCTGCGGCTATCTTTGTAACGCCTCTTGGGCAGTATGCTCGGCCATTCTGTCTGAATGGCGAAACATCAAATTCTCCAAAACTGTTTACCCAGCTTACGATTGCATTACATATTTAGAACTTACAATAAAATTAATCAACAACTTTCTTTTAGGTTTCGTTTCTAAACATTCGAATCAAACTAAATCGCCATATTTTCAGGGTGCCCGAGCTAATGCACATGTGCAGTCGAAAGGAACGACATCCCGACACCAACCTCATTTAAGGCTGTTTGCAGGGCCGGATTAACCAATGGGCATTGTAGACACAGGCCCAGGGGCCTATGTGCAGTTGGGGCCTCTGTGAGGGGGGAAAAAAAAATTGATTTTGGAGTGTCTATTTAGGCTAATTTCAAATACCGCACTTTGTTGGAATAAGCTAGTTAAGCGATTCACACCCATCACCATTTGATTGAAAGAGACAACGTAACTAAAGAGCGCAACAGACATCAGCGTGACTGGCGTAGCTCATAAAGCGCATGGCAACATGTTTTGACAGGATCGATGATAAACCCGGTTCGAACCCATCATCTGATGAACACATTCCTCTTTTTTTCTCCCACTACATATCAGATTTTGCCTACTCTTCATCATGAGGAAGTCAAGTAGTAATCATTAATAAGTGTGTGTATTATGGAGGACTCAGATTCATAGAACTGGATTGGAGAGGTGTTATATCCAAGTTTGTAGAAGTTATAACTTAAATACACCCTTAGATATATATTTTAGTACTGCTTCAGTAAACTTGAACAAGTATAATAAAATCCATTATTTGTCACTAGTTGTATTAGTTTTTTTTTTTTCTTTTCAAAATGGGCTTCAAATGCTTTAAAAATAAGCTAAATCTTTGTAGACTAGAAATATATGCAGTGTATATCATTTGTTTTAAAAATGCGGGCAAAATATTATAGATTAATTTTTTCAAAAAATATTATATTTATCTTATGTTTAATTTAACTATAGGGGTGCGGCTAGGCAGGGGGCAAACTACAAGACATTGTGCCCAAGGGTCTCTGAGTTTGACAGAACGAACTCTACCTCATGTTCATTTCATACAGATTACAAAACTAAAAAACTTTTGTTTTCAAGTGCACTTGGCTCATTTAAAAGCACAGATTACAAGCTTCACTTGGATATATTTCCCATGTATGTAAAGCAGGTATTTGCTGACAATCCAGTGTGTTTGTCGACCACACAATTGTTGAAAAAGCACACGTCTGGTTTGAGCTTTTCCCCCGTATAAACGTCAATCTATAACGATCTATGATTGGCTCCTATACTAGTAGATGGGGCTTCATACACCATATTAAACATTACACTTTTCACTATTCAAAACTATACAAGTGACATGTCATGTATTTTAGAGTCTTTGACTATAGTCATCAATAGACATATATAGTCATTCATTCATTTTTTCCCTGAGCGCTTTTGTTTTCTAATTCAATATATTTTTATCCCTGTCATAATACAGTGAGATGGCATACAAACCTATCAGTTCTTGGTTTTATGGTCATTGTAGTCAAATTCACACTGCAGGAATGTGTCTTTAAAAAACATATGACCCTAACAGAACTTTATGAGAGGTAAAATGTGTGCATATTGGTCAGCTAACATGTCAAACCAGTTATCAAACGGTACAGATTTTAGCCTAGGATTATAAAAATCATTTAGGATTTTAAAACCTGGTCTCGGGTGTCACAAGGTACAGTGTTTTTGCTAACAAATAAATAATTCTTTTTTTTTCAGGAAACCTTCTTTCAAGTGGTTTTAATTTCAGGCAGCGGTTATTCTTTTATTCTGATGAATTATGGTGATGTTGCTGCAACAGGATATCCTGTACAGGTAAAAAAAAAAAAAAGTCCTCTAAAAAAAGTGCTTTTTAAACCTGTCCTGTCTCAATCTTTCTTACCCTACTTTTACAGTAGATAATTTTGTATATTGTTGTACAGGCTGGTTATGATACGGCCTACTCCACAGACTACTTTGTGATTTCTGGATCAAACAGCGGGAGCTCCATCTCAGACCTCAAGACCTTCAGTAATGTCAATGTTCCAGGCAGATATGTCTTCAGGGTAGACACTGGATCAAACACAAATAAAAGTATTCTTACAGCTTATTACCATCAGATTGTTAAGCAGAATCAAATGTGATATTCATGCCCAGAAATTAAATATATTAGAAACCAATGTTAGAATGTGTCTCACTTTAGATGAAATTGTTGGACTTCAAGGGAAGCTTGCCTCATTCCTAGACCTTACAGATGAAGGAAACAAGCAGATTGTTTTGCAGCAGGTAACAAATACAATTATTTATACAATTTAAGCACTATTAGGTTAGATGGGGAGAGTTGATCTGTCTGTTCATCTTTGTTTCAGATCCAACAGGAGCTGGTGAAAAAAGGACTGCCAAGCAACATGAAGTTGAACATAAAAAAAGTAGAAAAGATGCTGCCGTAACAATAGGCCTCTTTCAGCCGTAATATAAGTCTCTTTCAGCTGTAATATAAGTCTCTTTTGGCCGTACTATGTCTCTTTCAGCTGTATAAGTCTCTTTCAGCTGTAATATAAGTCTCTTTTGGCCGTAATATGACTCTTTCAGCTGTAATATAAGTCTCTTTCAGCTGTAATATAAGTCTCTTTCAGCCGTATGTCTCTTTCAGCTGTATAAGTCTCTTTCAGCAGTAATATAAGTCTATTTCAGCTGTATAAGTCTCTTTCAGCTGTAATATAAGTCTCTTTAAGCCTTAATAAAAGTCTCTTTCAGCTGTAATATAAGTCTTATTTAGCCGTAATATAAGTCTCTTTCAGCCTAATATAAATCTATTTCAGCCGTAATATAAGTCTGTTTCAGTCTAATATAAGTCTCTTTCAGAAATAATATAAGTCTCTTTCAGAAATAATATGTCTCTTTCAGTCTAATATAAGTCTCTTTAAGCCGTAATATAAGTCTCTTTCATTCTAATATAAGTCTCTTTCAGAAATAATATAAGTCTCTTTCAGTCTAATATAAGTCCCTTTCAGCTGTAATATAAGTCTCTTTCAGAAATAATATAAGTCCCTTTCAGCTGTAATATAAGTCTCTTTCAGCCGTAATATAAGTCTCTTTCAGCCTAATATAAGTCTCTTTCAGTCTAATATAAGTCTCTTTAAGCCGTAATATAAGTCTCTTTCAGTCTAATATAAGCCCCTTTCAGCTGTAATATAAGTCTCTTTCAGAAATAATATAAGTCTCTTTCAGCCGTAATATAAGTCTCTTTCAGCTGTAATATAAGTCTCTTTCAGCTGTAATATAAGTCTCTTTCAGCTGTAATATAAGTCTCTTTCAGTCGTAATATAAGTCTCTTTCAGTCGTAATATAAGTCTCTTTCAGTCGTAATATAAGTCTCTTTCAGCCGTAATATAAGTCTCTTTCAGCCTAATATAAGTCTCTTTCAGCTGTAATATAAGTCTATTTCAGACGTAATATAAGTCTCTTGCAGAAATATGAAGACAGTTGAACATCAAAAAAATTGATCTTACGAATCAAGTCTGTTATTAATGTAATTCAAGGACACATTCTTCAAAAGGGCAATAATTCACCATAATAGTGATCTTACAGTAGCTTTGTGTGATGAACTGAATAAAACAAATAAAAGTAAAATACACTGATATCCACCCTAGGTTTCTACACTCATTAGAGTTCACTGATATTTTTAAGTATTGTTTAGACAAGCATAAGGAAACGGTCATGTTGGCCTGAAGAATGGCAGTGAATTAAAATGATGCAGATGTAGATCTAGAATCTTATGAAGACAGGAATGTCACTTTACAAGGAGAACTTGTAGAATTCTTTTCTTTCAAAGTTACCTTTATCTTAATCATTTACGTTCACCCAGACGTGAAATTTGTCACCATTTACTCACCCTTTAATTAATTTTTCCAAACCAGTTTGAGCTTCTTCTTTTTTTTTTTTTTTTGATCAGTTGAATACAAAAGATTTGAAAAATGTAACCATTTACATGTTTTTTTGTTTTTCCTACAATGGCTGTCAGTAGTTACAAGTTTCCAACGGTTTCCAAAATATCAAACAAACAAACACACACAGAAAGATATCCTGAAGGATGTGGGTGGCAAAACATTGTTGACTGCTCATAAAATAGAAAAAATTGTGTAGATATCAGTGGATACCGGCAGCTGTTACCCAAATTTCTGGTCTAAAACAACTTGTGAGTAAGTAAATGATGACATTTTTGTGTAAACTATAATACACAGTATTATAGTAAAACCAACATCAAAATGAATCATGATAAAACGTTCGAGGTTACAGAAGTAACCCTTCGTTCCCCGAGGAGGGGAACGGAAGTGCCATAGAGTGGATTAAATCCACGAATGGGAGATTCGGATCAGAAGCTGCTTGTCTGGAGAGTTATTGAACGGGCCAATGAATGAAATTAATTGGCAGCGTAAGCTTGCGCAGGTGTGCTGCATCGGCAATTATCCCAGCATATAAGCACACCTGAAGCCAGCAGACGCTATCCTTTTAAGCTGAAGAGACTTTCAAACAGCTAAGGGACAGTCATTATGGCGACGGAGTATGGCACTTCC